AAGTAGAATATCTAATGGAGAAGAGTCAATTTGACGAAAGCGGAAGTCACGACGATCAATATTGCAATCGCGGGGTTTCTGAATTTCACTTGTGAGACACTTGATTGCCTATCTTAGGTAGTAGCCTAACTGTACCTTGACAAGAAAGTCGGGGTTTGATTATGGATTGGCCGCTAAGACTCCGATCCAGGTTTCCAAAAGCGACATTCTTTCTATTACCCACTCACCGCGAGTCCACCTTGATATTCGCTTTGCACTCTCACATCCGTTTTTCAGTATAGACCTCTTGCCCCTAGTGTTAACCATATCTGTCCACGGGTATCGTACCCTTCAACATGCTCAACATGCTACTAACCACTCTCAAAAAGAAGGTCGCTCTGGCACTTACGTCCGAAAGTTCCATACCGTAGTAATCAAAATCTCGGACTTGACCCCCTTTTCAACCTTGTCTGATGCCGGACACTCTACCGAGGATGGCACCCCTGCCGACGCCCCAGTCGGGTGCCGAGGTCGGCACTTCACGCCCAAGCATTTGATCCCAACATGTAGGGTACGGATACGCACGTCCAGCTTCACCGGCAGTATCGGTGTAGATAACATTCGTCTCGAATCGCCGCTGCCAAGTCGAACTCGGAGAGTGTTGCATTAGAGTTGATCGGCTCCTAGCCCGTTGTCTTTTTAAATTCCTTCTGGGGCGGACATTGTCCGAGCGGCCGCCGATGGGCTTGCATATCCCTCACAATAGAGAGGCAAGGATATCGTTTCACTATCGACAACCAGTTTCTGACACTTGCACGAGAGAGTCGCCGATAAAGGCATCATGCAATTTGAAGGTCCTGGCGTCTACGCAAAGCGTCCGAGGCGGTGAACGGTTGTCGAAGTGCCGCGTTTTCGCCACAATCTCACCACGTTGACCTTTAACGAAAATACGGATTGGTTTCTTGAGGAATTTGGATAACAAGAGGTGCAGCATCTATGTGGGGATGTTGCAATCGGTGAGCGAGGGCGCTACGTCTACGGCTGCACCTCCAAATAGTCAACTGTCGTCGTGGATCCTTAGAAAAATGCACATATCCTCAAGGAAGAGATTCCTGGTAGCAAACCTTGACAATGATTCGATTCGAAACTGCAGACGAAGGTCTGGAATTTGTAAATGAGTCAATAACATCTTGTTTGGTCTAGACGCAATGAGATGGATCATGGAGATGGGACGAGCGCTTGTGTTTTCCAGTCTAGAGTGCGAGTGTCAATAAGTATGAAAGGTTCGACCCGGCTATGCTGTAGGCAGGCTGGCACTTTGAGTTTGTATCTTTCGGGGCATGTTGCTTCTCGTAACTACAATAGCATTCGAATACTAACACAGTTCAGGGAGTGTGGCCGGGATGTAGAGAATAGATGAAGAACGATTCAATACCGGAAATCAGTCTAAAAGTGTACCTACTATAGTGATGTTGGGCTGTTCAGAGGCATGACGTTGAACGGAAGTCACACATATTGCCGTTCCTCCACTGTTATCTCCCTGCAGGTGCTCAATATTCACACTTTGTAAACGCGCAATAGCCCTGTGTATCGCTGTTCTGACTGGGGACTTGACGAGAACCACAACATCCACCAAACGGCCCAGAGTAAGTTTAATAATCAATTGCGGCATCGCTCATTACGACATGTGTTGGTACTCTTCGTCATTGAAAAAAATGTTCCCGTGAGACCGCAAATCTACAAAGCATGTTGTGGACTACTCTCGGCGCACAATCATCTCAAAATTCGTGCTTGTCTCTTACGTTTGTCACTGAGTTGAGAGGTCCTTGACTTCCATCCGATGCTGACTTGAGATGGGATAGAGACCATACTCTGGTGGCGTCAGAGTTCTACAATTCGTACACTGTAGTACTCCGTACAAATACCGACTATCTGGTATGAGTGATTACAGTAGGGATGTCTTGGACAGCAATCATGCAAGGCGCTCGAAATTCCAGCCCAAATTAACCGAACCTTGACGCTCAGCTGCAGCCACAACTAGAAAGGGGCATAAAGTGCCTATCAACGTGAACGGACCTGTCGCCGTCATGAGGGTAATAAGGCGATGGAGGACACACCATGGAATAACCGACATTGAGCCGCTAACCACACGATCGGCGACTGAATTGACGCCGCTTGGGACTTTGTGGCCGTGTCCTAGGGTGGTATCCGCCGTGTCGGCGAGTCGGCGAGACCACCCACCGTGAGCAACATTAGACCGCGTGTCGGCAGGGGTTCGGATCCTTCTGGCATGCAGACCTTGGTCAGCGATGGCCTGACGAACCAGCCACTCAGTTACGGGCACTACGGCATCTCACAGTTTTGAGACAAATTTCCAGTAACCGGCTGGTGCCAGAGCGGCAAAATTATCTCAGACGACCCGCACCAAGTTCGCCGTCTGATGCGAAATAGGTAGCGAAGGCGCGAGAGTATCATGCTTTGGTGCTTGGGGATTGAGTCATCATTTGTATTTTGTCATCCTGTCTTTCTGTCCCACAGAGGTAGGTTAATTTTCCCACTTGCTAAGTTTGGTAAGTAAGTTAGTAATGCACCCTGACTAACAAGTGCGCTCTTACCTTTGTAATACTGCTTGCACAATTCGTGCGCCGTATGCAGCCATCAGCATAGTACAAAGCCACCGGTCGAAACCGGTATGGTCTTGGCCAAGAATCGGAGTACACATCGGCGTCGCAAGCAGCGCCAGACGCAATGAATTAAGCCGATTTCTCAGCGAACCACCGACTTCCGTCTTTGGCGCATATGACAGTAATTCCTCAGCATCGAGCGGCTCAACAGTTCATCCTCTCTCGCCGACATTTGTTGTTCTTGATGTTTTGAAATGTACGACAGTGAAGTCACAAAGCTATTATAGACTCTTCATTTTCCATATAAAGTTCAACGTTTCTTGATCTCCGTCAAGGTTTGTTTGTCGTTCACAATAAGCACGGACAGAGAGAACAATATTCGTAAATCCCTACTCCCATCGCAAAGCCAGATATAACATCATCTCCACTCAACAAAATGACCAAGGTCGAAGCTCCGCTGGCCGCAGACCAGGCACCAGTTCCCGGCGCATTGCAAGTCTCAGACCCCGGCTTGATCAACGAGGGAGCCAAAAATGTAAGACCCCTACCCCCAGCGCAGCGAGAGGCGTTCATCCTGTGGAATACCTTGCTGCCAGCACTGAGACGGTGACTGCACCGCGGGAAATCCTCCGCGAGACCACTGTCTCGAGCTCACAAAGTGCCGTACGCGTACTGATTAGCCCGGATGAAAGGTTCCGTACTTCACCCCCATCCAGGACCCAGCCGCCGGGACTGCTAGGGACTCTCAGCCAGGCGGCACCCTATTCTCGCCGCTCAAGATCCGCGGCATGACGCTCCACAACCGCATCATCGTGTCGCCCATGTGCCAGTACTCTGCCGACAATGGGCACATGACGGCCTGGCACAAGACGCATCTCCAGAGCTATGCGGTCCGCGGCGCTGGGCTGGTTTTGACGGAGGTCCAGGCCGTGGTGCCCGAGGGCCGCATCTCGCCCGAGGACCTGGGAATCTGGGATGACTCGCAGCTAGTCGCCGCTAAGGAGGTTATTGACTTTGTCCACAGCCAGGGAGGGCACATTGGTGCCCAGATTGGCCATGCCGGCCGGAAAGCGAGCACCGTTGCACCTTGGATTGACCGTAAGGCGGTGGCAGGCGAAAAGGTATCTACTTGGCATCCTGAACCCCAGTATCCGTACTTTGGAGAGCTTCGGCTCCCGCATCAAACACACTTGCGCGGGTGACAGTGACGAGCACACAGCTAACACACATTCATTACAGGGTCGGGGATGGCCCAAGGACGTCTATGGACCCTCTGCCGTAGCGTACAGTGATGACACCTACGTTCCCAAAGAAATGGCCCTGAAAGACATTGAGACTCTGAAAGCGAAATGGGTTGATGCCGTTAAGCGTGCTGTCAAAGTTGGATACGACGTAAGTTTCACTGCCGGGGGCCCCAGTTAATCACTGTCCCTTTTTTGTTTCCAGCTGTTGAATTATTCTACAGACCATCGAGATCCATGCCGCCCATGGGTACCTGATCAACAACTTTCTGTCGCCTACGTCCAACACGAGGACCGACCAGTACGGCGGCAACTTCGAGAACCGTTCCCGCCTGCTCGTCGAGCTGACGGAACTGACACGCGCCAACGTGCCCGACGACTATCCGGTTCTGGTGCGTCTCGCCGGCACCGACTATCTAGAATTTGACCCGTCGATACCCCAGTGGGACATCCCTCAAGCCCAGAAGCTCGCCAAGATCCTCGCGGACAAGGGGGCAGATTTTCTCGATGTTTCCGCCGGCGGGCAAGATGCGAGGATGAAGGTCGTGCCCGGACCCAAGTACCAGGCGTACATAGCGGAAGCTATCCGGAAAGCCGTTGAGGGCACCGGTACCCTGGTAGGGTCCGTCGGCGGCATCGCGACGGGGAAGGACGCCACGGAGGTCTTGGCGGATGGCCAGGCAGACGCCGTCCTCGTGGGCCGGGCGTTCCTCAAAGACCCTAACCTGGTATGGACTTGGGCTGACGAGTTGGACATTGACGTCCATGCTCCTAGTCAATGTGAGTTGAAGAGTCTCTCCATTTTCTCCAATCCCAAAGAGCGTTTTCTTCTCCATAAATTAGACTTTGGCTAAACTCATGTTCCCAGACGGTTGGCCTTTCGGACGCACAAGGACCCACAGACCAAGCAAGCATTGAGTTCTGAATTCTTGGAATCATGGCTTGGCCTCATCCACATTTCCGTGCCGTTTCCGAGGATCGAACGGTCTTGGTCTTCTAGAATGGGATCGAACGGCTTCAAGGTGTTAGGTAGTAGTCTTTTTCCTCTATAGAATCGCATGAGTTGAATCATTCAATGATCATTGAATTTTGTCCCATCCTTGTTTTACGCCGTTCTAGAAGTTTCATTGTTCCCACGGATTGCGTCACCCAGAATTCATATGTCTTCGCCATCATCAGACGGTGGTTGATGCGGATGAGGATGCGAGTGCGGATGCGGTTGACTTTGGCCGTGAGATTGTCCCGTTGGTGGCTGATTCCAAGGCGGGTAGCCCAACGGCTCAAGTGCCTGCTGAGCTGCAAAATAACCGTGACCACCCAAGACTGAAGCATCTTGGCCAAACATTTGCACGTCGCCTAGGATGTCGTCGACTGTCGCATTCTCCAGTGAGAGGGAGGTCTTTCCCTGCGCGGTATTCAAAGCCTGGACTTGGTCTAGCCTCTGGGCATACCACGCTCCTTCGTGTGATCTCTGCTTGTGGTAAAGCATAGCCTGGTCGCATAGAGCCTCGATTACCCTCCAAGCAGCAAACTTGCGCATGCTAATGTCCTCGTTATTGTGTCTGCGGAACACGATGTTCATTTGCCGCCATGCTCGGTCCGTAACCGGGTGTTTTGGTTGTTGAGCGAGGCCGATGAGAATGTTTGAAATCGTAAACGGTGTCGTCGGCCATCTGTAGATCCAGCCACAATGGCTTTGGAGAGCCACTGCTTCACCACGCTCTGCTTCCTCCAGAATTTCTACACACTCTTGATAGAATCTAGAGATTGTCAATGTTAGTAAGTGTCAAAGCCTCTTGGCTTTACGTTCCAACTTACCCCGATCGGAATTCAGCATCTTGACCAGCACCCGTATGTCGAGCCACAACGGTCTCAACTAGAAGTCGCATGCTTCTCATACTTGTTCTGAAGTATGAGACAATTATTGCATGACTTGCAGAGCTACCGTCAACGTGGGATATAAACTTGGCCTTGATAAAGCTCTCAGTCTGGTCAATTATCCTGTTCAGCTCTTCCGGGCTCGTGTCGTTCCTCCTTCGCGTTATTGATTGCATCGTCCTGAAGAGATGCTGTCGTATCAAGACAAAAGACATGTCTGTGATTCCATCCTGATCTGGAGGGGTAGAGCCTGGTTTTGCAAATCGATTCGGCATCCACTGGCTGTCGTTTGCATTCTTTGCGGGTTGGACGTCGGATATTGATGGCAGGCCAGAGTCTGCACCCTCCAAATTGTACACCGGGTTGTCCATGATTTCGAAGTGAGTCCAGACTCGGCGTCTCATATTTGCTATCCATGGCGAATAGCTATAGTGACTCGGATCTCGGTGCAGTCCGAGTCTTGTTCCGAATCGACCAGCCAATCCGAGGAGAGAAACTGCAACCTCTCCATCACCCGTGATGAATTTTGCTTGCTAGGAAAATTAGTAAAGACTATCTTCAGAGTTGTGAGTGGATGGTAAGAGAAAGTGGCCGAACGAACAATATGATAGAGCAGAGCAAAGAAAGCCAAAAGCTTCCTGCTCCGCAAAATATCTGCTCTCTCAAGGGCTAGTTGGGTAGCTTCCTGCAGGTGTCGAAGGAGATCCTTCTTTGGTTTGCCTAACCTCTCTTGGATAAGGTTTGCCGGCAATGCCGCAACGGTCATGGCTTGGGTTGCAAACATGCCTGCCTCCACGTCTATCGGGATTTTGTGGACGCCCACTCGGAAATCTGTGATTTGCTGCCGCCAGTAGGACTCGTGGACTATCCGAACGTAGGGCTCAACATGTGCAAGGAAAAGGTCGGTCAGGATATCTTCCTTTTCGGGTTCAAGGTGTAAATGAGAAAGATCGGCCAGAACGGGTGTTCGACCAATAGGCCAGGAAGACGGACTCGCGGGGTTTTTGCCCGTCTTGTCCGAGTCGATACGGAATAGGCATCTTGGTTCGTAGACAACGTCTTGGAGATTAAGCCAGTAGTCGGGACCAAGATAATAGGAGACGTTCTCGTCGTAAACCTGCATCCCAGGATCTCCAGCCAGGGACTCGTCTCGTTCGTTGTAAAACTCGCCAAAGTGACTTGTTGCTGGACTCGCAGATGGAAACGAGCTGCTAGTCGCCTTGAGTGATTCTCCTCGAACAGACATGCCCTTCATCTCCTCGATCACCCTTTCCAGTCGGTCGACCCTCTCCTGCAACTGCTGTTGGCTTTCGGGGCTGGGGATGCCGGGCTCCCTCTGGGGGTCGTAGACACAGGAAATGCCATGACGAACACAGTTGAGGCATGGCTTGGCCTTATCGCAGCGGACCTTTCGACGTCGACATCCGTTGCATGGTTTGTTGAAGTTCAACAAATTGGACGACATGGTTGTAGTTGAAAAAATCCCTAAAACTTGAACAGGCAGACTATCTGCTCGGATAAACCACCAGCGTGCTGACAAAAGTTTGACGATGAGGCTCTCTTGGGCGTCGGTGGGGAAAATTGGGCGGACAAGCAGTCTCTTTCGGGAAGGGATGCGGCGCCGAAGCCCTAGAAGGCTCGTCTGGCGCCGGTCCGGATTTCCCGAGCGACGGTAGGCCTCAGCTAAACGATAACGCAGTCAGGGGTTCCAAGGCACCAACAAGAGTGCTTGATAATTGCTTCAAAATTGCCAACATATCCGAGCGTGGGCCGGACTCGAGAACAAGAACGGGCAGGGCCCTTCCAAGCGGGAAGAGTGGCGATGGATTCGTCCGTGTTACTGTCCCGGCTCCGAACGCTGATCAAGACGAGGGTCGGTTGCCACGTGTGATGATCGATGTTAAACCTCTGGCGATGGTGAGAATGAACCAAAAAGCTCCACTTCAGTGTGGGAGAAGATGGAAGATCCAAGAGGAGAAGACCACGTCAGGGCCACTGCCTTTACTGCTGCAGCTGAAGTTCCAAAGAAGGCGACTGCGGCCGAACAGGCGGATCTGGGCGGCCCAATCCCGCTACGAGGGGTTTTGGGATCTGAACGAGGGTCGAGGATGGCAGTGGGGTACTCCCGTAGGTCTGTACTCGCAGGAAGGGCTAGAGCGGTTGGGCGGCGCCGCGGCGGATGCTCACTGCAGTACCCTTGCAATTTTGGGCTTGTGTGTCTCTCTTCCTTCTTTCTGTTCCTTCGTATTGCGCTGTTGACTCTTGTTGTATGAATCAACGTGCTTCCTTAGCGGCCTTTGAGCAGCGAGTTGGAGAATATGCAGTGATTCGTCATCATGACACGAAGATAAATCAGTTTGATCGTGAGGTTCCGAATTGGGCCTATCTGTTGCTCTCTGGGCCCGGTCCCGAGTATCACGGAGGAAGAAGATGAGAGCGTGAGGGACTGCGGCCATGCGGCGGCCGCCACGGAACAGGAATCTAGATCGTTGCTTTGAACGATTGGACAGTCCTCTGACATAATCCTCCGGATGGTCGGTGGAGCTTCCAGGTGACGGAACGGCAATGCAATAATGAACTCTAGATGGGACGACAGGGCCGGCCCAACCCGCTCGAGACAGCAGTTCAGAAGTTCAAAGTCCAGGGACCTTTGGCTCGAGTGGTTGGGTTAGGCGACGCGGAGAAGGAAAAGAAGAGTGAGGAGAGATCTGCAGCTGTAGGGTTGCAGCCGTTGAGGAGCAGAAGTCCCCTTTCCCTAGTAGATGAGGTGACACAGATCTCTCAGGGCCGATTAGCTAAGGTGATGTCTCAGGTGAGAACGAGGCCGAGGGACGTCAATACCTGTGACCTGTCGCACTTGTTCGAATGGCCATCTCATTGACGCGCTATTGGCGTGACAGAGCGGACTGAGCGCCGATTGGCGAGAACGAGAATTTTGTTGCTTCCCTTGTACTCATAATGTATCCGCCCATTTCTAGCTTGGCGCGGTCATGGATATTTGGTAGCACAAAAAGTAAAAATAACGAGCATATGTGGAGAGTCCAGATTCATCCAACATTGCAGTGCCACCTCTTCACATATTAGACCACTACGCTCCGGACCCGCCTGGAATTGGCCAGCCCGGAGGGTTCAGCTGGTCAAGGCAAGGAACAACCTCAGCTCTTATGCATCCTGGCCTTTTCACTTATCGCCCAGCCTTACGTAGGGCGCATTACCTTATCTTAATCCCATCGCGCCCTGGGGGCCTGGACAGCTGGGCTCCTCCATGACCCTGGTAGACGGCTCGGAGGACCCGGGCTGGAAGTGGGTCTTCTTCCGGGGATAAGTGGAGTTCCAGGCCTAGCGCACGGTGGAGCTCTGCCCGGTTCCCCGATCGAGGCGGTACGTACTCCTTTGCTATCAGCACCTGGCCCCTGTCGTCAAAAAAGCCCGAGCTTCAGGTACAATCCCACCGAAGCGGGCCGGCTACTTCCGTGCGCAACCCCGCGGCGCCGTCGCACCACCAAACTGGACGCGTCTTTCGAGTAGGGCGATTTGCAGCTTCAAACCTCGACGGGGGCTTGCTGCAGCGACAGGTGTTGTTTGCGAAAACTAACGATGGCTTTGCCTCTCCCCTCGGGTCTCGTACCCACCGAAGTGGCTTTTCTGTGCGAGATGGAGCTCGTCACAATCGTCCCCCGTCAGCGGCTGGAAAGCATCGATCTTCTCAGCGTAAGAACGGAGCAGCAGCCCCTTCCACTTTACCCCGCGACGCGTCGCGGATAGATTCTTTTGCTAACTCTCGATGCTTTTCCCAGGGTGCAACTCCAGCCTTGCGACCCCCGGCACGTGCCAACTTACCTCTTTGGCTGGCACTCCTCCTCAAGAAGCAACGACGAGCAAACATTGTTCCACCCCAGTGGCTCCATCCAACCTCCCTCGCCAAGATTGTCCATCAAGAAACTACACTCAACCCCGATGCCTTCTCTGCTCCCCCGCCACCTCCTGCGCGCGGCGATGCAAGAGGCAATGCCCGTCGACTAGGCGCGACCCTCGACGAAACCCTGTCACCACCGTTCCTGCCCTCATGTACAGCCGACGCGCCCCCGAATGCGCTCCCCTACCACTGGTTCGAGCTCGCCGAGGTCCTGCTGGCACACGCATCCGACGATATACCATCAACTTCCGAGGTAAGGTCTCTCCTCAAGGACCTTCAGGAGGTGCGATCTGCCAAGATGCGCAAGAGTACACAGGACCTGTCCGACGGTGTAGGCGGTGTCATGAGTTTACGGGGAGTTGGAGCGATGGAGCTGGCTGAGAGCCGCGGCTTCTTCCTGGGCGTCATAGAGGGCGTGCGGAAGATTGGCGCCAGTGCGGAAGCCAGTAGGCGTGAGGAAGAGGAGGAACGAGGCAGTGGGGACGGCGATTATGACGAAGACGAAGATATGCTATGATACCCAGCGTTTCCAACGCCAATACAACAAAGAAAAGTTGCGCGCGTGCGCGGATTGCTTCTACCATGTCCATCGTACGAACTGGACATGGGGAGAAATCATGTTGGTCCAAGCTATGCTGATTACCCTAGTGCCTCAAGGAATACGCTCCTGATCCTGTCATCTGCCCATCAAAGGACGCCCGTCCACGAGCCCGGCAAGCACTCTTGATAGAGGAGGAATCACCAGGTGGTAAGGTACGCGTGCATGATCCAAATTCTTGCTAGCTCAGTAATGCTTAAGTAGGGCAATGTCAATTCGAACAAAATCTACGGCTCTAAAGATCATACCAATCAAACATCTTGTTGCATGTCTAAATCTCCTTCACGTTCCCCTTATAACAGTCTCGTCTTCTTCGCAGGCTTCTCTACTGTTTCGTCAAGCGAGCTGCTTGGTCTTTTTGCTGTTGCCCGCTTGTCTGAAGCCTTAGGTTGTGACTCCCGGGGGCTTGGGTAAGGACATATTTGGCGATATTGGGTCCGAGGGAACTCGTTTCTCACCGTCGGCACCGCAGCCCTGCGCGAGTTCTCTCTTTGTCGCTTCTGTGGCCTGGCTTCGTCGTCTGCGGCGGCATCTTCAGGCCTTCCCCTCTTCCCAGTAGCATTCTTCCTCTTCGTTGCCGCAGAGCCGTTTCCACGTCCTATTGACGAGCCCTTGTTGCTGCTACTCGACTGCCCGTTCTTACTTCCCTGGGCTGTAGAGCCTTGCCCGCCATTCGAGCCTGGCGGCTGCTTCTGTCCCCCAGCAGATGGGTCCGGAGAGCGACTGGGCGAACGATCGTTCCGAGGGAAGACCGGTGAGACACCGCCCGGCGTGGACTTCCTCGAAAGCTCCGACTCGCTGCCTTGTCCGCGGCCCATCTCAGGCTGGCCCTCGGTTTCATCGGGTTCAAATATCGTGTAGTCGGGGAGGTGGACCTCAGAATCATCGTCGTTGTTATCATTGTCCTCATAGGCACCTCCGACGCTGCCACTTTGGGTATCATAACGATCGTCGCCGTCATCCTCGCTTCCATCATACTCTCCTCTCCAGTCGGGATCTCCGCCAACCGAGCTTGGATAGTCCTCCAAGTTGAGAGTATCATCTCCATTGTTGAAGGTCTGGTCTGGGTCAGGCCTCTCATGAACTAACATTTCTGTTTCGTCATCGCTGCCATAGTGGACGATAGTGGGTTGATGCGGTTCATCGTCTTGTTGAGAGTCTTCGCTCCGTGGCTCAAGGGGAACCTCGCTACTCTCCGATTCTTCGCTGCCTACTTGAATCGGGTCCTCGTTCTTCGACCCCTTTCTCTCTTGAGGTGTCTTTGAGGGGGTGGACATTTGCTCAGAGTCTCCTCCGACCGACCCGGGAGTTGATCTTCTCGACCGCGTGGCTTCGTCTGGTGTGCCATGGTCGCTATCCTGTGGACCCTCTGGGTCACTGCCTTCACTTCTTTGAGAGTTGTCGGTCTGCTCCTCATTGTCGTCACGGCTGGCGTCATCTTCGGGCTCTTCAGGCTCGGAGCTCTCTTCAGGCGCTTCGGGATCGCTGTCGGATTCGTCTGCAGATGGACCAACGGGAGAGTCCGAACCATTGCTGTCTTGGCTCTCTGTAACTGGTGACGTCTGTGGTTTTGTTGCTTTTATATTGATCTTGATTTTGGTTGGTCTTCCATTCGGAAGGGGCGTTCTCGTAGGACGTTTTGGCGGCGTGGGATCCGATGAAGGACCTGCAGTATCATCACCAGATTCATTATCTGATTCCGTCTCAGGTTCCTCGACAGATTCATCGCCTGATCCAGCTTCAGGTTCATCGCCAGATTCATCGCCAGATCTAGCCTGAGATTCTTCTTCAGATTCATCACCTGACTCAACCTCAGGTTCTTCACCAGATTCGTTGTTAGGTTCATCGCCAGATTCACCGCCAGATTCATCATCAGGTTTGGTCCCAGGCTCACCACCGGATCCGTCATCAGATTCATCTCCAGAGTCAGCATCATGGGGAGAAGGCATTGGTGGCAGGACAGGAGCAGTGGGCGGCGGCGGCGGCGGCGGCGGAGCAGGTGGTCCAGGAGGAGGCGGGGGAGGCGGCGGACCAGTTAGTACAGCAGGAGGCGCCGCCGTCTGCTGTCCCCCTCGACGCTGGCGCACCGGGCGCACCAAGACATGGTTGCCTTGGGCGTCGTATGCCTCTCCTCTATCAGTGAGTCCTTGCCAGAGGTTGGGCTGCTGTTGTTGATTCCGAGTCTGTCCACGAGTCTGTCGAGGAGTATATCCTGCAGGGGGAAGCCAGGACTTCGGAGAGGCGGTGCCTTTGCCTTTCTTGGGGGGCATCTTGTTGGGTGCTAATGTACGTCAGCGCCGAAGCGTAAGTAATAGATGGAGATTGTACGCGAAAGGGGAGGAAGATTCTATTGAATTCAATTGGAGGTTGAAACTGGTGTTGGAAATTTGATTGGAAACTTGGTTGAAGATGTAACGAGGTCTGGGTGAGTTGTTTGATTTAGGTGATGGAATGTGCTGGTGATGGGTTCTTGTGAGTCGAATATACGGCATCTTCTCTAGAATACCGAAGTCATACATATACCAAAGTCAAGGCTCTCGGTCAGTCTTGTCGGCCATTGTGCTATTACTTCAATTCTTTCGGCTTTCATGTTTTCTGAGTCTTTGACAGGTGACCTGTCTTGTCTTGCTCACAAGGTTCTTTGAGTCTTGTGTCTTTCATGCGTTTGTCTGGACTTGGGCAGCATTGTTGCTAAGCAAAAGTCAGGCGAGATCAAAGGTCTTTCATCATATGACAATGAAAACAACAGATGTTCGCTCAGACGTAGTGGCTGTCTGGGTGTCTTCAGTAAGTCTACTTCAATTGACTTGATTGCTTATGAGTCCCTGGCGCGTCATGAGATGTGATTGACGGACTTCGGCCGAGTCAATTCGTCCAAGTTGACAACACAGCCCGGCCTCACGACTTAGAATAGATGTTGTAGGTCTTCGAGCAGGTCTTCGACACCAATCCATTCAGGGAAAAATGTCATTTGAGAATCAATATGAAGGGTTTTCTAGAAGACTCATGATCCTATGCTAATACAACTTCATACCTATGAGACGGGAAAGATTTCATCTTCTCTTACATCCATGATGACCATATGCCCAGGCGCATGCCCCATTACCGTACCCTTGATATCGGCTCTCATCACAGCCTCTTGTGGCGTGACCCCGCACCCCCAGAAGACGGGCACATACTCCTCATCGTCATGCCCGAACAGAGTTTTCCCGTCCATCTGCAGCGCTGGATCGCCCCAGTGAGGCTTCGTGATATCCGTTACCCCGATCCTCTCCGCCCCATCCCATCCCCACGCGATCGGCTCCCCATGTGTCGCCACAAAAGGCCTGGTGATATCTCTCACTTTCTCAATCTCCGACACCTTGTACGGCCTCATGGAAACTACATATGTTGCCCCCTTGAAGACACCGGCCGCGCAGAGTGGGATGTTGGTACGATACATGGGCACGTTGCGGTCATGCGTCATGTGTCGCGGCGTGAGTCCAGACTCGTTGAGAGCCCTCTCGAAGCTGAAGGAGCATCCGATCAAGAAGCCTACATGGTCACCATCAAGCCACTTGTCTTCCACGTTTACTGGTTCCCAAACGCCGTTGACTGGGACGTGCTTGCTATCCTCATAGACACGGTATCGTGGCGAGTCGTGGCGTAGGTCGATGTTTGTGGCCACGGGTAGGATCTTCTCGCCGTCTGGTGATCTGACATAGGACTTGAGCTTATCGAAGTCTCCTGGACTTGATGACTCTGCTAGGAGGGGGCAAGGTACTGGGTTGCGGTGGCAGAGAAGACGGAAGTCATCGGCGTAGCGTCGTGGAAGAACGATGAGGTTCGCTTGGAGATACGTCGGGGCTTGACCGGCTGTGGTTGAGGTGAAGGTACCGGAGCGGCACGCTAGTCGAGCATCCTCGCCCGTCTTGTAGATAGTAGCCATGGCTGATGTTATGAGGGGATTGCGGAAGAGTTGGATCTTCCTTCAAGTGCGATATCAAGAGGACCTATGGTGAGGTTTAGTAGCAATCTCATGGAGCAACAATCGGCTCAAGTTGTATCACCAAACTGATAAGACGAACTTCTACACCAACTGATTGACGGGCCCAAGCGCGCATACGCCGACCATTTTACTTATCAACCGGCGTGTCGGTGACCCACTCCGATCTCCGAACGCAAGCCGGCATCGGCCTTCTTCTCCGAGGGGAACTCACAGAATCTGCATTCGCATATTAGCAGCATTCATGATATGAGAGAGTTTCAACACAACCATTCGGCCACATGCTATATGCTACAATCTAGCTATACGAGGCTGCGAGAAAGGTTGCTTTATCTCACTTTTGATCACTGACCTTAACCCTCTTCCCCAGATTTCGGGGCCTCGGACGCTGGGGCCGGGGACCCACGCCGACTCCCGAGACATCCCCGCCCCCATCATCACCATCCGCTTCCGTCATCACTTCCATCGAAGGCATCGAGGCATCCTCATTCCTCAGAGAGCAGGCGAATCAGAATAGTTGCCAAAAGCCGCACTTCGATCACCCTGCACATCCGCAGCATCAACCATAGCCCGCAACTCCCTTTCCTCCTCCTTGCCCAACACAACCTTCAAAGCCCCCATATTCTCCTCCAAATACTGAATCTTCTTCGTCCCCGGGATCGGCACCACATCCTCGCCCTGTGCAAGCAACCAAGCAAGCGTAAGCTGCCCCGCAGAGCAACCGTGCTTCTCGCGTCCTACGGCGGCGAAGTCCTCCACGAGCTGCGTGTTCTTCTTGAAATTGTCGCCCGTGTACCGTGGCAATTGGCGGCGGAAGTCGCCCTCTTCAAAGTCGTCCGCCGACTTGTAACGGCCCGTCATGATGCCGCGGCCGAGCGGCGAGTAGGCAAAGGTCGTGACGCCGAGTTCGCGGCATGTCTTGAGCAGGTCTGTGCCGGCGGAGCCTTCGATCTCGAGAGACCAGGGGTTGTATTCTACCTGCACGGCTGAGATGGGGTGGATGGCGTAGGCGCGGCGGAGGGTGGTTGAAGAGCACTCAGAGATGCCAAAGGCCTTCACCTTGCCCTCGCTTCGCGTAAGTTGTCAGCAATCTGGAGCTGCCGGGACATGACGTTTAGTTACTGTCCAATCTCACACTCACTTCTTCAGCTTAACCATCTCCTCAATCGTCTTCTCGATGGGCGTGGTCTCATCCAGGCGGTGGATGTAGTACAAATCAATACTCTCGATGCCTAGTCTCTTCAAGCTGCGCTCGCACGCCTCGCGGCAGTACTCAGGCGAGCTGTCAATCCTGATGCTAAAGGTCCCGTCGTTCCTGATCTCCCCGCGCAAGCCAAACTTGGTCGCCAGGAAAATGTCGGCGCGGCGCTCGGCGTGCAGCGCGAACCACTTGCCAATGATGTTCTCGTTGTCGCCGTAGGCGTCGGCCGTGTCCCAGTTTGTGGCGCCGAGCTCCCAGGCGCGATCGAGGAATGCGAGACGCTCTTCGTCGGATCTGTGGAAGCATTGGAATCAATTTGAGACGTCTCTTCTGCAACTGGCTGATCAAAGGTCACGAACCCAGGCTTGCCGTAAGCCACGCTGAGGCCCATCAGTCCTACGCCGAGGGCGGTGATCTCGGGGCCGGCCTCACCAAGGCGGCGGGCGGGGAGGCTTGCTGGAGGTGCCATTCTGAGATCCTCGGCGAAGCTATTTGCTGGTAAAATTGTCGAGTTTGTATGGTACTTGATCTGATGAGAGCGTTGAGATTACTTCAGAACAAGACCTCTTCACCATCGAGAGTGAGGGTCGTTTATATAGCGCATGGCTATCTCGCGAGAATTGCTCGCTTGAGTTCTCGTCCTTGGCGTCGAAGCAACGATCTCCAGACTCGTAGCTGCACGATCCCTGAGATCGATAGCTAAACTCCGGAAACTTGGTCTGGTCACTGGCATCATGCACAGACTTCGATCGCACAACGGCATGAAATAGGACCCCGTGTCAAAGGCGACGACTCGTACATAGTCAAGCGGAAGCTTCCAACTGCCTCGGCATCGAATTAGACTTGAACGTACTGAGACTAGTCAACGAATCAGCGGCTCAAGTAGACCGTGAAGAAGCAGGTTTGGTGGTGCTGACCCGCGATTGATACTTATATCCGGGCGTGCGGGTGGTGCGGCCGCTTCGGCCGCTCCATTCTCATAACTCCAGTGACATCTCCCTCGACCAACTTTCTCGTCAATCGGTTCGGTGGGTTGCCAGATGTGGGTATCTTCCGACAGAGATTTTCCGAATGAGGCTTTGTCCACGCACTGCCGAAGCCTGGGTTGCGCTTCAGACTATTGTAAGGTACACAATCATCTCTTGATCGAGGGCAGAAAAGCGGCCACCTTAGAGAACCTGGGTCGTGATGCTTTGTCTGGCTGGCGCTGATACCATGGTCGAACACCAAGGAGATTCAAGAATGAATCTAATAGCTGGATGCTTTGTCAAGTAACACTTCATAAACATTGGTTCGATCTGCAATTCGAGGAGCACATATCCCTGCAGCTTGCTCTCTCCAACAACCTCATCACATCTCTACGCAAAAACCAGACTCTGTACCACACCCAAAGCCATCTGGCACATCCGATCAACCCATAATCTCTTAGCGAGACGTCAGGTAAAACAACCATGACAGCCTCAACAAGCCCCTTCTATCTAGCCATCCGAACAATGTGGCCACCAATTTCACTCGCCGCAATCTTCACCCTCTTCATCACCCCCCTCGAAAAGGTCTTCTACCGTGCAGACCTCTCCATCGCATACCACATCTTGGCCGCAGCCTCAATCTACCTCACCCTCATTCTCAACGCCGTCATCGTAATGACGCCTCTCAAGACCAATTTCCAAAAGATCAAGAAGAACGAACAGGTCTTCTCGCAGATAGGTATCTTTAACCGCTGGCTCGTCGAGGGCTACCTCCACAGCCTCTTCTTCTTCCCCAATCTCTTCGATCCTATCATCGTATGCTGCGTACTTTTCGCTGACAATAGGTACCTCGACAACCTCGCCCATCTCTACGGCTTCGTGGTGGGCATGCTGCATGCGCCGCTGCTGCTGAGCCTGGCTGTTCATCTCGTCGTCCACCTTGTCTTCCTCATCCTCCGGTGGATTGTCGCAAAGACGTCGTGGCTCGTATGGACGGTCTCGGATTACATGCCCCAACACCCCTGCGAATCAACCCAGAAAATCCTCCTTGCTCTACACGTTTGGCTCGAAGAGCTCCCCGACGAGACTGCGGCTGCGATCGACCGCAAATTCTTC